AGAAATAAACAAGGTGGACACAATTTCAAATACACAAGGCATATCCTTTACTGTTAAATAATTCAATATCAGTATATATGTACTTATGTTTATTTCACAAAAGACAAATACTAGTTGATAATATATTCATATATCAACTGAGATTCATTTTCGAATATTGTATCACGTTACATCATACAGCTGTCTCGTCCGGCTTCCTCCAGGATTTCTGATGCAAGAGACCAAGTTAGTGGGAAACCGGCCGGAAGTAAGGATATTAAATAATCTTAAACCAAATAGAAAGCTTAGAACACTAGCCCGTGCTTACATGATATAAACACGAAATAAAATTGAATTAAAAATGTTCTGACGTGTCACCAAAGATCTCTTCAGGTTGATTTAAACATCGAGTTATCTCAATTTTACAATGAGTTGTTTTTTACTGTTATTTCCTATGTTAGTTTCCTATATATATACATCACTCACTACAAAACACAGACGTTGCTGACCTAAGTAATATTATAGAATATCTAAACTATTGAAGGGAGTTGTTATGTAAATATTATACATCACGGTACAACACCTTGTAGAACTGACGTGTAGGATAAGAAAGGACATGTACCATTTTCTTGACCCCTAGCAGTGTCCTAGCAGCTTGGAACAGAATCACATTTGCCCGCAATCAGTACAATACCACACCTAACCTCGAATTGTGGCACGGTTCAGAATAAACACGTGTACTTGACGTTGTTTTGGAATTATCAAATATATGAAAATTATGAAATTTATTGAAATATAGGGCTAGTGCACGTGCCGTCTAGATTTCACATTATTTGTGATCACTTTGGATTGTCCTTAGTCGCCTCCTCGACTTCAGTATTTTGTCTCTTAGCATCAATGATGAGCCCTCAAGTGACGAAATAGGTTTTTTTTTATAAATATAGTTCGTTATAGTGCTGTTAATTTGTTTATCTATACCACAACACACCTGTAGTTATTTTGTACAATCATCGAGAACTTATGATACCACAACACACATCACGTCACCTGTAGATATTTTGTACAATCATCGAGACCTTATGATACCACAACACACATCACGTCACCTGTAGATATTTTGTACAATCATCGAGAACTTATGATACCACAACACACATCACGTCACCTGTAGATATTTTGTACAATCATCGAGAACGTATGATACCACAACACATATCACGTCACCTGTAGATATTTTGTACAATCATCGAGAACCTATGATACCACAACACACATCACGTCACCTGTAGATATTTTGTACAATCACCGAGAACGTATGATACCACAACACACATCATGTCACCTGTAGATATTTTGTACAATCATCGAGAACTTATGATACCACAGCACACATCATGTCACCTGTAGATATTTTGTACAATCATCGAGACCTTATGATACCACAACACACATCATGTCACCTGTAGATATTTTGTACAATCATCGAGAACTTATGATACCACAACACATACCATGTCACCTGTAGATATTTTGTCAAATCTTTGAGAACGTATGATACCACAACACATACCACGTCACCTGTAGATATTTTGTACAATCATCGAGAACGTATGATACCACAACACATATCACGTCACCTATAGATATTTTGTACAATCATCGAGAACGTATGATACCACAACACATACCATGTCACCTGTAGATATTTTGTTAAATCTTTGAGACCTTATGATACCACAACACATATCACGTAACCTGTAGATATTTTGTACAATCATCGAGAACGTATGATACCACAACACATATCACGTCACCTGTAGATATTTTGTACAATCATCGAGAACTTATGATACCACAACACACATCACGTCACCTGTAGATATTTTGTACAATCATCGAGACCTTATGATACCACAACACATACCACGTCACCTGTAGATATATTGTCAAATCTTTGAGAACGTATGATACCACAACACATACCACGTCACCTGTAGATATTTTGTACAATCATCGAGAACTTATGATACCACAACACACATCACGTCACCTGTAGATATTTTGTACAATCATCGAGAACTTATGATACCACAACACATACCACGTCACCTGTAGATATATTGTCAAATCTTTGAGAACGTATGATACCACAACACATACCACGTCACCTGTAGATATTTTGTACAATCATCGAGACCTTATGATACCACAACACATATCACGTCACCTGTAGATATTTTGTACAATCATCGAGACCTTATGATACCACAACACATACCACGTCACCTGTAGATATTTTGTACAATCATCGAGAACGTATGATACCACAACACACATCACGTCACCTGTAGATATTTTGTACAATCATCGAGAACTTATGATACCACAACACACATCACGTCACCTGTAGATATTTTGTACAATCATCGAGACCTTATGATACCACAACACACATCACGTCACCTGTAGATATTTTGTACAATCATCGAGAACGTATGATACCACAACACACATCATGTCACCTGTAGATATTTTGTACAATCATCGAGAACTTATGATACCACAACACACATCACGTCACCTGTAGATATTTTGTACAATCATCGAGAACTTATGATACCACAACACATACCATGTCACCTGTAGATATTTTGTCAAATCTTTGAGAACGTATGATACCACAACACATACCACGTCACCTGTAGATATTTTGTACAATCATCGAGAACGTATGATACCACAACACATATCACGTCACCTGTAGATATTTTGTACAATCATCGAGACCTTATGATACCACAACACATAACATGTCACCTGTAGATATTTTGTTAAATCTTTGAGACCTTATGATACCACAACACATATCACGTCACCTGTAGATATTTTGTCAAATCTTTGAGAACGTATGATACCACAACACATATCACGTCACCTGTAGATATTTTGTACAATCATCGAGACCTTATGATACCACAACACATATCACGTCACCTGTAGATATTTTGTTAAATCTTTGAAACCCTATGATACCACAACACATATCACGTCACCTGTAGATATTTTGTTAAATCTTTGAGACCTTATGATACCACAACACATATCACGTCACCTGTAGAATTAAAGAAAAAAAAATTGCCATTTTTACATTATTTTAATTTCTTAATCCTCGACTTAATTTTGTCCCGGTCAAACATAGATATGTAGATGTTATACTGTAATATCTTTAAAACACTCGTGAAATTGGATATTATTAAACGACGAAATTTTCTTCAGAACAGGATGTTCATTTCCAATTTAAATTCGAACAGATAATCTTTTTCTCCGAATATAGGATAATCTATGATATAATTTGTTTGTCATTTTACACGTTTCCCACTACACAACTGTAAACTACTAGTCACTCTATTCTTTGTCGATTGCTGAAAAAAATTAACCACAAGTCAGACTTCACCTTTCGATCGTCCCGGAACACAATCCTTCTAATAATTTACTTGTTCTTCTATCTGCGTGGAATATCAAATCGATGTGTGTTAGATATAAAACACATTCAGGAAGTAAGCGATAATTATGTTATTTACTGTGTGACGGAAGTTTATTTCTAAATACGGCCGATATTGATAGGAAATGTGATATCGAGAATTACACGAAATTGGAGTCAAGTAATCTTCAAATCACTTTCTCAAGTTGCTTAAATTGTTAGTTTTCAAATTGTACTAAATAAATGAATGACACTTCCTGATGCAGAAAATATTATCACATAAGATCCGAGACAACAGTGAAACAGTAAATACAGATGTAACAACAAAAACATTTTAACTAATGATAAGTCCTTTCGCAACACTTCATTAACAGACCTTAGCTGAGAAAGCGTAAGGTTGTCGGCCTTTTTTTGTTTTATTTTTCTTTATTAAACACAAACTTGATAATTCATTATTATATAATACTACAAAATAACACAAATATAACGTGGATATGAGTAGAGGAAGACTTGTACAGTGTAATACATAATGTAGATACCTCTAATGTGAATACCGGCACAGTGTGTACGTGTGTTAAAACCATCACGCTACCATTCACACAGGTGTATAAAGCAACAAACACCACACAATATACACACGTGCACTTCCGGCTTTATGTATTACCTGTCGCTAGCTGTCCAGTAACTAAGCAACACACGGTGTACGTCACTTTCTAGAATTTCAATTGATTGATAAAACAAATCTTAGTTATTTTACAATCGGACCGGCGTTATCCAATGGTATTTGTTCTACAATATCAAACTAAAAGGATGGGATACCACCTACGATGAGGTAACACTACCGGTGATTGGTTGGACTAGACGGGAAACACCCTGTAAAGAGTACAATGTAGCTATGTTTAGAATTAAGGGGTTTCCTGTAGAAGTAAATGCCTTCTCTGGGTATATAAGTTTTCGAAGATGTCTCAATCTTCATCACATTCAAGTTTACAAGACAAACTCTACTGAGGTTTTCCTGCAATCCATTGTACTAGGAGAATATTGACATAAAATGGTAAGTAGATTAAGTTTAAATACATATATCGACTTCTGTAAATCACTTATAACTACCAAGCAATTTTATCACAGAAGCGCTGGCATAAATACCCACAAATATTTCAATTATAGCAGATTTATCTTCATCGGAGTAGGTAGCGAAATTTATAGTCATAATGTTTTTTATTTTATTAAATAGTTAATAACTACTTGCACAGGGCTTATCATTATCATATATGATTTAATCACAAGTGAAATGAATACACTATTGACCACTTCTTAATAAAAGGAAAACATCTAACTTAATTAAGGTAGTTTTAAATGTTTCAAGTGTCCATTCTGCTAGATATTAAATAACTGACCATATGACTGTATCACCGATATGCAACTAAATGCTATAATAATTAAGAAAATGTATTTCAAATGTAGAAAAGAAAATCTTTTATGAAAAATATTGCTTCGTTGATATAGGTGTAAATATGGAATATATTTAATGTATTCTATTATGTTACAGAACACCTGTCTAGCACTCGCTGCTGTAATTATCAGCCTTGGTCTCTTTGCTCGAATTACTGGATCACCCGTCAGTTCCGAGTGTCAGAACCTAACTCCGGAAGAAGAAGAGAAAATGCTTGAAGAACATGATATCAATTCCGATTTCCATGACAATTTTCTACCACAGATATTGAGTGGAGGCTCCGAGGGACAACAGACATCTCTCAGTGACCTTCTACAGCAATCACAAATGAATTATCCAACTACTTGTCCAAGCCCAGGCGACGTGCCCAGTTCCCCCTCCACACCCGTGTACGCACGATCGTCATGCCCGTGGTACCTACGCCTGGAAAACGTTCCTAATCGTCACCCTAAAATCATTCCTGTGGCGGTGCCTCGGTGTAACGCTACCCAGTCCTGTGTTGGAATCAGCGCGGACCAGAAAAGTAACTTTGAATGTGAACGGGTTTACGTTACAATGAAAGTACTCCGGAAAGTGAAATGTTCGGAAACACTGTCAAAGTGGGTCGAGGGTACAGAAAGGGTAGCTGTTGGCACTACTTGTGTGAGGACAAAACAACAGGAGAGCAGCTCATCGGTAAATCAGGGTCCTCCCACCATTTAAGACTGCCAAATGCTGTTAACCACAGACCAGAACAAGGGAGATAATGGCCACCCAGATCGTGCACATATTTATTTATCTATTTTGATTTTGAAATCCTGTATAGCATCAATTTCATATTTATTTGATAAGATATATGTGTTGAAGTATTCCATGACTAGAATGTTAAGAAACTTTGAAAACGGTTATGAACCTATCTCAGTATTGTTATTTATTTTAATGGAGACGAAGATTTCCTGCTGCTGACAAATTTGTATGTTTACTTTTGCTTGTATTTATTTATCTATTGTTAAATGTGTTGTTCTCAAATGTTTGTCCTTCAAATTCTCATAAAATGGGAGATTGTATTTATTGAAAATGTCGCATTTAATATTACCAACTGTCTTTCACAAAGGTTGAATCCATCCATTGATGGTTTGATAGATTTGTAATAGTAATAATGGATGGAGTTTTAGAGCTTTAATTTAATCAGAGCGTAATAGGGGTGTGGTTGAACGTGAAATAAGACACGAGTAAACGAGGGGATGTTGATGTAAAAGTGATATAGATGTGAGCGAGGGAGGGTTGTTGATGTAAAAGTGATATAGATGTGAGCGAGGGAGGGTTGTTGATGTAAAAGTGATATAGATGTGAGCGAGGGAGGGTTGTTGATGTTAAAGTGATATAGATGTGAACGAGAGAGATATGTTGATGTTAAAGTGATATAGATGTGAGCGAGGGAGGGTTGTTGATGTAAAAGTGATATAGATGTGAGCGAGGGAGGGTTGTTGATGTAAAAGTGTTGTATATATATAAGAAAGGATTTTATTTATTATGTCAATGTGTTATGTGTATGGCATTCCATGGAAATCTCTTGTAGGGCGTTGTAGGCACAATGACCATTGCTGGTTAAATTAAAAAGTAACCGCTACAGAGGGAGAACATTATATTTCTTATCGGGGCAACTTTACCTGGATTTGTTTTATGTTTTATAATTATCTTCACTTTACATTCATAGTATAGTAATGTATTATTTCACAAATGAATCTGATGTACAACTGTGTTGATCTAGGGTTGTAGGTTGTGTCTTTATCATTTAACATGTGTCCTATGTATTAGTTAATTGGTAGGAGTTTTATCTGTATTGATGCCGAGGTTGCACGAGTTAATGGCTTATATAAGTAAGCAGTAGATATGAAGTTGTTTTGTTGTACCTGTATGACATGATTCAAATGTATTTATTGAGGAAAATGAGCATAATGTTTACAAGTTTTGTGTGACGTCACGAATTTGGTGAGAATGAGAATGTCATATATACGCAAGGTTTGTGTCGGGCGAACAGTATTCTAGAAGTTGGTATAATGTTGTACATGAGCATTGAGTCACTTTCAGTTTAAGTATATTAAGGTGATATTTATTGATAAATGATGTTTATTTGTGAACTTCGTACACAATGGAAAGTATCGATATTAAAGTCCCGAATCTTTCAAACCTGTGCAATATCTGTATACATAATTTATACTATTTATTTTACTATTTTGGTACTTTTGTAATAAAATCACAGCAATCAAATTATGTTTCATTTTGTTTTCTAGAAATTAACAATACAAGTAAAGTTAAGTTCCTGAAAATATCTGGGGACAGTTCATGTTTTAACCAAAGTACACGAAAAATATACAGTTTATGGACTGGTCAAAAACCAATATTTTATACCAAAAATGGATCTCGTGGAGAGGAAACTTTCATATTTTTCACTCTCGTCCACATTGTTTTGTGAAATACAATTGTTTTCAATTGTTAGGAATATTCCTTGTAATATCAACCAATGAATATCATAAAAATCATATGATAAAAACGACATACCAGTTCCGAGATTACAGATATTTACTATGTCTAAATACGTCTACCTATTTAACAGTCACTCGATATTATATACCAAGGGAGGCAACTCCTATTTGATTATATGATATGGATCATTGTTAATAAAATACAAGTTATTTAATTCCGAAATAATGGAAATGTGATTAAATTAGAAAACAGCTGTTAATATTTTGTTTAGTTGAGTTTCCTCGACCCGACATTTACATGTCAAAACGTTCAGGACCTCTATTTACAAGGTTCTCCACAGAATAAGCAATCCCAACAAATAGTTTATATGTGTACATATGTATACTGAGTACTGTGTATATATGTATACTGAGTACTGTGTATATATGTATACTGAGTATTCTGTACATATGTATACTGAGTACTGTGTATATATGTATACTGAGTACTGTGTATATATGTATACTGAGTATTCTGTACATATGTATACTGTACATATGTATACTGAGTACTGTGTATATATGTATACTGAGTACTGTGTATATATGTATACTTAGTAATGTACTGTGTATATATGTATACTGAGTACTGTGTATATATGTATACGGAGTATTCTGTATATATGTATACTGAGTACTGTGTATATATGTATACTGAGTACTGTGTATATATGTATACTGAGTATTCTGTACATATGTATACTGAGTACTGTGTATATATGTATACTGAGTACTGTGTATATATGTATACTGAGTATTCTGTACATATGTATACTGAGTACTGTGTATTTATGTATACTGAGTACTGTGTATATATGTATACTGAGTACTGTGTATATATGTATACTGAGTACTGTGTATATATGTATACTGAGTACTGTGTATATATGTATACTGAGTATTCTGTACATATGTATACTGAGTACTGTGTATATATGTATACTGAGTACTGTGTATATATGTATACTGAGTATTCTGTACATATGTATAATGAGTACTATGTATATATGTATACTGAGTACTGTGTATATATGTATACTGAGTACTGTGTATATATGTATACTGAGTACTGTGTATATATGTATACTGAGTACTGTGTATATATGTATACTGAGTACTGTGTATATATGTATACTGAGTACTGTGTATATATGTATACTGAGTACTGTGTATATATGTATACTGAGTACTGTGTATATATGTATACTGAGTACTGTGTATATATGTATAATGAGTACTGTGTATATATGTATACTGAGTATTGTGTATATATGTATAATGAGTACTGTGTATATATGTATACTGAGTACTGTGTATATATGTATACTGAGTACTGTGTATATATGTATAATGAGTACTGTGTATATATGTATACTGAGTATTGTGTATATATGTATACTGAGTACTGTGTATATATGTATACTGAGTACTATGTATATATGTATACTGAGTACTGTGTATATATGTATACTGAGTATTCTGTACATATGTATAATGAGTACTATGTATATATGTATACTGAGTACTGTGCATATATGTATACTGAGTACTGTGTATATATGTATAATGAGTACTATGTATATATGTATACTGAGTACTGTGTATATATGTATACTGAGTATTCTGTACATATGTATAATGAGTACTATGTATATATGTATACTGAGTACTGTGTACATATGTATACTGAGTACTGTGTATATATGTATACTGAGTACTGTGTACATATGTATACTGAGTACTGTGTATATATGTATACTGAGTACTGTGTATATATGTATACTGAGTACTGTGTATATATGTATACTGAGTATTCAGTACCTATGTATATTTTGTACTGTAAAATGATCATTTTCCAAACACTGGGTGCATATTCCCGGTGTGGTCGGTGTAAAGCTGTCAAATTTTATCATCCTTTCGATGTTTTCCTTTTAGATCTGTACCTGGTGGTATCGCTATCTACAAGAAGGGTTATTACAAATAACATAACTCACACTTACAGATACAAGTTTTGATAAACATAACAAAATAATGTAAAGGGAGGCAACCGTGATACAATATTTGTCCACCTTACTTTGGTGGTTAGCAGGTGGTATGCATATGCGACTTCTTAACAACTGATGATTTTAGGCAAATACCAGTTACTCTTTACTAACATTGTAAACCTGTGGTATGTACACAGTACTACGGTTGTAAACCTGTGGTATGTACACAGTACTACGGTTGTAAACCTGTGGTATGTACACAGTACTACAGTTGTAAACCTGTGGTATGTACACAGTACTACGGTTGTAAACCTGTGGTATGTACACAGTACTACAGTTGTAAACCTGTGGTATGTAAGTAAACCTGTGGTATGTACACAGTACTACAGTTGTAAACCTGTGGTATGTACACAGTACTACGGTTGTAAACCTGTGGTATGTACAAAGTACTACGGTTGTAAACCTGTGGTATGTACACAGTACTACAGTTGTAAACCTGTGGTATGTACACAGTACTACAGTTGTAAACCTGTGGTATGTAAGTAAACCTGTGGTATGTACACAGTACTACAGTTGTAAACCTGTGGTATGTACACAGTACTACGGTTGTAAACCTGTGGTATGTACACAGTACTACGGTTGTAAACCTGTGGTATGTACACAGTACTACAGTTAATATTCTGTACACTTTAATACAAATGTTAACATGTGTTATGTTAACGCTACTACAGTTACTACGGTTGTAAACCTGTGGTATGTACACAGTACTACGGTTGTAAACCTGTGGTATGTACACAGTACTACCGTTAATATTCTGTACACTTTAATACAAATGTTAATATGTGTTATGTTAACGCTACTACAGTTGTTAACCTTCGATATTTACACTTTACACAATGGATTACCGCTGGTACATGTCCTTGTATGTACCCAATACTACAGCCGTTAACGTAATGCCGTACTATAAAAACATTACAATATAGAACCTGATTATGTTAATTACCTCAATTCAATGAGAATAATTACTGACTTTGTAAATAGGATCAGCTGAGCATTATTCGGCATGATCAGAGTTATGATATCTATTTTGCTCTTGTTTGGTAATTTTCCCTCTACGTACAGTAATATTCCTACTTCCACAAACTATGACGTTAAATATCCCAATATCTGTTATCGATATCAATATTAATATATAGATATACGTATACTTTAA